TATCTATCTATCTATCTATCTATCTATCTATCTATTTATCTATCTTTCTTTCTTTCTTTCTATCTATCTATCTATCTAATCTAACTAGATTAGGTACTTATATCGTACTTATATCGAACTAATGTCGTGCTTATTTCGATATAGATCTCATTTATATAGTAATTATTTCGATATAGATCTTATTTATTTAGTATTATTTCGTTGGTTGACAATTGCTCTTTATTATTCCAGTATTAGTCCTTCAATTATTATCTCAGCTACCCGCGTTGTCTTATACGTGTCGTGATTCGTGAGAATACGCCAGTGTATTTGCCCATGTGTGAATAAAATAGCCCCTGGATAGTACTTCTCTCGCGAACGCTTAGTATAAACAAGACTATAATATTATTATGTCATCTCTGTTTGATAACATCGCAATAGATAACAACTGCAACATCTCAGCGCAGTAACACGCTAACCGCGTGGCTAGCCGCTGACTCAGCCGTATACAGTGATCTGATCACCGACGTCCGTGATCGCGTCGTGATCACGCTCGTGCTTCGATACATGGTGATTGCTGGTGAAGACCGCGTTACAGATACTCTGCATTAGAAGGCGAGGCACGCACAGCCTGCACGCGCACAGGTATGAACAAGCTATACCCGGGTAAAACTATCCGCGTGCCTGTCATCGACTCGGGTCAGATGCACCGCGGATAAATTACAACAATGCGGCAATAACGTGTTAAGAAAACAGTCAGGGTTGCGGACACGCACCGGGCATTACAACATAACTGCTCACCAAAATCAATCAAACACATATCTATTTAATGAAAGAGATATCTCTTTACGCTCACGATGAAATTAATGATGAAAAATTCATCGCTACTTACGTGACGGCAAAATGGTAAATTTATACGAAAAATGTCTTTTTCACATTTCTCAGAAACAGCAAAGGGTTGGAACATGAACTTTTAGTCATAGTTGTTCATAGTATGAACTAGTAAACGATCCCTGGATTTTTTTAATGTTTTATTTTAGGAAATAAGTTGAAAAGATGCATGAAAATCTGTAATTATGTTATGTCACAACAATATCGTAAATAAAGAGCCATAACCTCTAAAATAAAAAAAATATCCAGGTCCCAACCCTTCGCTGTCTCTGAGAAATGTGAAAAAAACGTTTTTTGTATAAATCTACAATTTTTGCCGTTACGTAATTAGCGATGTATTTTTTAATGATTAATTCCATCGTGAGCGTAGAGAGAAATCTTTTTTATTAAATAGATATGTGTTTGATTGATTTTGGTGAGCAGTTATGTTGTAATGCCCTTTACTGAGGTACCTGTCTGTAACCCTGACTGTATCCTTAAGTTGTAGGGGATCGGGTGCTGATACAAAGCGAGAGATCGAGAGATCGAGAGGAAGAGCGAGAGATAGAGAGAGGGAAAGAAAGATAAATAGAAAGCGGGAGTGTGGGGATAAGAAGAGTGTGATAGTGAGAGAAATTTAAAAATAGATAGATAGATAGATGATAGATAATGGGGGATGACTGGGCCCGGGGTGACAACGAGAGAGACGTCGGCAACCTTTAACCGGTATGTGCACACTGTTTTGACTGTGCTGTTTCTATCCGTGTTTGTAATAAAACTGTAGTTGTCACCGTTTACACAACTGTTACGTACTACTGTCGTACGTCCTACTGTCTACGTACCATATATTCGACACTACATATGTATGTATCAGGAGTAGATAATAGGGATGGTATGTATGCATGTATGTATAGAGAGAAAACGAGTCATTTGCACGTACCATAAGCTGCACTTCCCGTATACCAAAAACTATACGCGTAAACGCAAACCGTATGTATGCGTTTTTAAACCGCAATGCAACTTACCGGGGGCGCGACCCACGAGCGCAGACACGTGCACCTGTTGCCGTGGCGGCACAAACCGTACGCCACTCCTTCCACGCTCTCCTCCTCCTCCTCCTCCCTCTCCTCCTGCTCCTCATCCTTCTCGTGTTTTCGCGGCGGTATCGCACAAGCGGGGAAACTATAAAACTTCCGCGACATAGCGACGTATTTTCTATCGTGCGTACCAGGCGACCTATGTGGCCTGTTGTGAACGCGTGCGTGCAAAGCGAGAAAGTGAGATGGAGACCCGGACCAGACGGCGCGACCGTCTGCCGGCTCTATATATATGCAGACAGGCCTGAGCTGGCAGTGCGTGAAATAGTCGGCCTAGCCTCTCATCTCAACCCACGACTCATCAACCGACCACGACGAGTTTTGTGCGCGCGCACACGTGGAAAGGTTTCAATTAAATCTCCTCCTCTCTCCATCACTCACTTACCCACTCTCTCTCTCTCTCTCTCTCTCTATCTATCTATCTGTCCATCTATCTATCTATTTCTGTCCTCATCCTCTCGCGTGTGGGCGTTTGCGTCATACATTCGATGGTATGTGATCGTCCGGCCGAAAGTGAAAGCGCTGTAACGTCACGCGCATAATTAAATTGACTACGTCACGAATTTTCTATGGTAAAATTTGTAAAAATGTTGTTGCCATTTTTTTACATTAAAAGTAAGAACTAACGGGACTAAACGTATCGTCAAATTCTTACCTGATAAGATTGTTTCTCAACTAGTTAAAAATCCAAAAAACCTGGAGGATTTGATATTAGTGTCTCTGACATTAATTGCTTGCTATGGGCTATGTATGAGTCACGAGTGTATGTTCACATCGAACAATATAGTAAAATAAGAAGTATAATGCAGCAATTTAACCATAAAAAGTGAACAGAATTACTTATATTTTGTGAAAAAGTGGAAATATTTTCTTTATTTTTTACTATTTACGGTGACGTAATCACTACTACGACTACGAATAGAGTAGGGGCGAGAGAGAGAGAGAGAGAGAGAGAGAGAGAGAGAGAGAGAGAGAGAGAGAGAGAGAGAGAAAGAGAAAGAGAGAGAGAAAGAGAGAGAGAGAGAGAGCGAGAAAGAGAGAGGGAGAGCGAGAGAAAGAGAGAGGGAGAGAGAGAAAGACAGAGAGAGAGAGAGAGAGAGAGAGAGGGAGAGAGAGAGAGAGAGAGAGAGAGAGGGAGAGAGAGAGAGAGAGAGAGAAAGAGG